AATTGAGGTCTGGAGATCTCAGCATCTTTCCTATTCTTCAGTTCTCAGAATTATTTGGGAGAAGCCACAACACTTACACCGATGCACATATGACAGAAGACTGGAGACAGTAACAGTTTTCAAGAGAACTCAGAGTAGTCCAAGAAAACCCTTACTTTCCTCCCCAAAGTGTACCAACCTATTTCTTTGGTCTTGCTGCTTTACGTTTCTGTTTGCACAAGCCCAAGACCAGTAGTTAAAGTGTTCCTCAACAGACACATTGTCTAGGATTATGACCTGGATAGCACAGGCTAGCCCAATCCTGTCAGATCTCAGAAGCTAAGCAGGGTCAGTCCTGGCTATTATTTGGATGGGTGACGACCAAGTAAGGAATACCAGGGGTGTGACACAAAGGCAGGCAATGGCAGACCAACTCTGCCTTTAAAAAGTCTAGCTTGCCACCTAGTGGTGCATAACGCTAAAAGAGCTAGAACTTCTGGCTGCCAGACAATCTTCAGCTCTCCTGGCTATACTACACACACTGACATACGATGATTATGATGATGATAATGATTGTTGTTGTTGTTATTGGCTCTGGATAAGACCCAAGTGGAGTTGCCAGATCCAGGTTGGAAAACTCCTGGAGATTTGGGGGCGGAGCCTGAGGATGACAGAGATCTCAGTGGGGTACAGTGCCATAGAGTCCACCCTTCAAAGCATCCATTTTCTCCAGGGGAACTGATCTCTTTCGTCTGGAGATGAGCTGTAATTCCGGGGGATCCTCAGGTGCCATCTGGAGGCTGCCATCCCTAGGCCTGAGTCATACCAGTTTTAGGCTCAGATTTGGAAATCAGATTGCAAAGCAAGTTACAGGATCCACTGACTGCTGCCCCTTGCTTCAGCCCACTATCCTTCCATTGTTTCTGTCCTTGCCATTTTGATGGCCACTACCTTTAACTTCTTGCTGTCATTATTAAGGGCAATATGAATATTTATTTGCATGCATGGATATACAAACAGCTATCCTACGTTGCAGTGGTGTAAATATAAATATGCCTACAGAAATCAATACTTCTGTAAGTCTTGATAAGAGCCTTGGGCATGGGTGTTTAGCAGGCAAAAGGGGCCCATTGCATACGAACGACTTAGACCAGAAGTGTCGAACTCATTTGTTATGAGGGCTGGATCTGACATAAATGTCACTTTGTTGGGCCAGGCCCATGCATGCTATAAAATGTAACACATGGTACCAGAGATATACACTTTATAAAGGTGTCAAATGGCAATAGCAGGTAAATGACAATAGCAAGTTTGATTGGATTAGGTGTGATATGCAGAGGGATAGTAGGCGTGGAGATACCAACATTGGTAATGAGATGGGAAACCTAGGTCTCAGTTCCATCCAGGAGAATTCAATCCAGGAGGATGCAAAGAATAAATGGACATAATAAGTCTGACATTAGGAACCACAACATTCAGTTGCTGACCTAAGAGTAGCAGTGCTCTTACAAAGGAATTTCAGATTAGAAAGAGAAATTGCTGAATTGCAATTGATAATGAAGCTCAAGACAATGCATCCTCCTGGACTGAATTGAGACCTAGTTTTCCTGTCCCATTACCGATGTGTGCTATTATCATTTGGCATCTGAAATTACTCCACTCTCTAAAATATAAGGACCAAACCACATGGTCTAATTCCTAATCAGGGGCTTTTTGAAATAAAATAAATCCAGATAGGAACAGAGAAATCCAATCTTTTTTTAAAAAAACTTTTCAGAATAAGCCAAAAATAATTTCCTCAATGTACATTGTACTTGTCAGAAGAATCCACCTTCCCACCCACCCACCCACCCAAGAAGTGGGATTGCACAAAAAAAGCTTTTACCTGGAATAAAATGTTTTTGGTTTTAAAGCTGCCACAGGACTCCAATTTTGTTTTTTCTCCCTCTCTTTCTTCCTCCCCCCCTGCCAAAAAGAGGAGGAGGAGGAGGAGCCCCAGAGAAAGAAGCAGAAGCATTTTTTTTTGGGGGGGGGGGTGTTTTTGTATTTCTCCAGCACGAAGCAGCCGTGAACCTGTTATGTATTGGGATTGAATCATCCCTGATTCAATTACCCCAGAGACTGGCTGAGTTTAGAGCACAAGAACAATAGCCTGCCAGGATTCTGAAAGTAACCGGTCTAGTAGTAACGTTATGTAAATAGTCTATCACTGGGAGTTTGGGTGTGGCAATTGCATGCTATTTAACAGAGCTGAGGCTCTGGAGTCTTGTCTCGCTGTTGCTGAAATCACAAATAAAGTTGAGCTGATCGCTAGACTTGAGCCTGCTCATCCATGGAACCCACTATTTAACAGAACCTCTCTCTATCTTTGTGTCTGTGTGTGAGAGAGAGAGAGGGAGGGAGGGAGGGAGGGATCTGATGAGATCAGGCTAGCCTGGGCTATACAGGTCAGGGTGTGTGCTCACTGGTGGTGGTGACAGAAAGTGTCACAGCCAACTTATAACCCTGTAGGGCTTTCAAGACGAGGTGGTTTGCCATTGCTTGCCTCTGCATGGCAACCTTGGATTTCCTGGATGGTCTTCATCCAACTGCTACTAACCAGGGCTGACCCTGCTTAGCTTCCAAGATCTGACAAGATTGGGGTAGCCTGGGTCATCCAGGTCAGGGCAGCAGCAGTGGTAGAGTAGTGGTAGTATTTAGTAAATGACAGTGACACGATCAACATCTTCAGCACCTTATTTATTATATGAACAGAGTTGTGCTGAGAGGTGCTGAGCCACACCGATATGCCCCCATGCTGTACAACCACCCCAGGTTCAGTCGAATGTTGCCCTGAACCATGAGAACACCCTCTCTATGCCTCCCATCCATACATCTGATAAGTGACTGGTTTAGACAAACTCCAGCCTCGGCCACACGTGCCGGGAAACGTGGGGGGGGAGGTGTGGCTATTTGCACCGGCACAATTAGACCTGCCACAATGCGATCAGACACGTCAGCAGCACACCACGGTTTCATCCCTCAGCATGTGTGCTTCAACAAAGACGGCCAGAGGGAAAAGCCACGCCAGCACGATCACACAGATGGAGTCCATCGGCAGCCCATGGCAAACCATTTGCCAGTACTTTTGTGCCGGTAGTTTTTAACCACGCATTTTTCAGCAGGACACCACGGGTGCGTTATGCCCGCCAGATGTTGCGGTGTGATCGTGCCCAGAAAATCCGCCCAACGTTTGTGGCTCTCCCGTGGCAAATTTGGCGTGTGAACGGGGCCTCCCTTCATCAACTTTGGGTTATATATATATAAGTATGAACTATGGGGATGCAATTGACCCTTTTTAAACTGCCTTTGTATTCTGTTTTAGTAACTGGTTGCCAATGGACTTTTTCTGTCATTTCAGACAGATCCATTTTAGTAACCAGCTGCTAGCAGAATTTATTTACCTGTTCATACAAACCCACTTGCATCAGGCTGGCAAAGTGTGGTTGAGCCATTTTTGAGGGAAACTGCTTTATTCTGTTTTCAACAATCCCTTCTTTGTGCTTCTGAATCACTGTGGTGTGCTGTTTAAAATGTCCATAAAGTTTCCTACAATGTTGCTTTTTTCCCACCCTTCCTCTCTGTACAATCTTCCTTGGACTTTTAAAAACCGTTCTAAGGTGAGTGCTATAGAGCTAAACAATTGAGATGCATTGGCTCTGTCAATGGTGCCACTATACCAACTTAGTGCTATAGCGGTTTAGTGCTAAAGCACTCACCTAAGACCGTTTTTTTTTTTTTTTTAAAGTCTGAAGAAGATTGTGTGGCGAAAAGGAGCAGGAAAAAAGCAGCACTGTTTGAAATAGTGCTTCAGAGATGGCTCATTAATGGAAGGAAATTCACTGTATGAAACCCTGTACCGCTTTACTTGAAATCGGGCCAGTCGAGTGGTAATGTGAAAAGGGCTAATGTGTGCCAATCATGAACTGTTGTAGTCATATCTGTTGTGCAGAAATTCTATCATTTTCATGCAGCAACCATGTAGCAGGTTGCTACACCAAATCTCAGAGCCTTTTCCAGGGTGCGCACAGCTTGTGATATTTGAATGTTTGCCATACACTTCATTGCTGTTTATATAAATATGGAGTGTATGTATCTGTCCATATGAGTGCTCACATCGTATCATCCAGCATACTTAGTGGCAATGGAAGTAGATGTAGATCATTTAGTTTGTAAAACTAAGACATGGATTTGGGTGGACACATTACTCTGGGCCTTTTCAGATTACCAAAATATAAATCTTTTATTCTTAGTACTAAAGCAGACTTAACCAGGACCCTGTTCGAGAGGAACTATACACATAAGTCTTGGAGTGAGGGATAGTTTTACTACCAAGATGATAGCTGCGCTTAGCACAGCTACAGCTAGTCTTCCCCCCCCCCCCCCCAACCTTCAGGGCAGATGTGCAATGCAGCACTGGAAACAGGGCACACAAAGCTCTTTAAAAGCTTCTTCTAAAAATTCTTTTTGGAAAAGAGCGGGTATTTCTGGAGGAAATTTTGGGTTTTTTATTTGCTTGTGTGAAATGACTGCATGAGTGCCCCACGCCACGCTCGAATGGTACAGCAGGGAGCACTCAGCCTCTAATGAATCCTTTTTTAAAAGATGGAATCTTAAAGCTCACACAATGGCACAAGCAGGGAGAGGGACCCTTTGTGTGTTGCTGGACACAGAGAAGTCAGTAGGAATGGGACACTCGCACAATCACCTTCCACGCACCGTTGACTGTTGTACTGTACGAGGGACTGGGGGTGGGATTGCATTCCGCAACAACAGAATAGTGCTGATGGAATGGTAGGGGGACGAGCTGGATGGAATAAAACTGTTGTCAGGTTCCCTGCAAGAAATGGAGAGTGCATTTATTACACAACCACAAACAATCCTCTGGAAAAACCCTTTGAGAGGAAGCCGAGATTACAGAAGGGAAGCTGTTGGCTCGGTTTCTGATGTTCTCATTTGTTGTCTCTTCTCTTGTATTGTAGGGAATTTTAAAGGTCTGTGTAAGCAAATCGATCACTTCCTCGAGGACACGGAGTATGAAGCTGACACAGCAGAATATTTCCTCCGTAAGTCTACAGCTTCTTTCTTTCCCCCTTTGAACCACTTAGCATGTGTGCCTTGCACTGAGTGCCCCTCGCTTCTTGGTGATGTCATTAGACAAAACTAATTTCCCTTGAGGATGGACATGCTGGAGGAGGCAAAATGTGAACGCCCAAGTGGAACCCTTCTGTGAGTCTGCCTTAAAACATTCTGCCAGAGACACCATTCTGTGCCTCTCCTGCTTCTCTTGTGCATAACTTCTTGGGGTTTTCAATTCATTTACATTTTTTTAAAGAGTAAATACTTACAATATTTTTAAGAAGCTAAGATTTCCTGCATATGCAAAATAAATCCATGCCCTTCAGTGACTATCGTGATTCACTAGTCTCTTCCCCAATCTGCCTCCGCAGGTGTTTCACCAGTCCCATATACCTGCTGCTCATATGGACTGGGGCATGATCCAGGATTAAGGCATCGGCAGTCCTGATGATCAGCAGAGAAAGGTGCAATGGAAGACTAGGAGAAAAGGCAGAGGCTTAGCCCTAAGTATTATACATTTGACTATTTAGACTTTGGTACAACAACAGCAACCAGAAATGCACACAGAAACCTGACAGTTGCACACGCTCACCAAAATGTCTGGGTTTCTCTGCAATTAATACAAATTGAACTTCAGTGCATTTCCCAGTCACCTAGTCTTTGGTCTTTTCCTCATTCTCATGTTACTGGCTGTTTAAGTTCCTGTTTCTTCTGGGTTTTTTCCTGTTCTGCATGTGTTGAGCTACCTCTAGTGGTCAATTCGATATCAAACAGCTTTATTTCCAGTTTATCTCCCTGCAGATTTAAACTGCATGGAGATAAATGGGAAATAAAGCAACTTATTGAACTGACCACTAGAGGGGGAACTCATGTGCAGAACAAGAAAAAAAACCCTTTGAATGAATGCAGAAAAGAACTTTGAGATGTGCTATTCAGAACTAATGGTGCCAGAGCTGCATTTTACCATTGGCCCTCAGGTCCTTTATGTACCCAGGTTTTAAAAGTAAAATGTGTTGTCTTGTAAAAAGCAGTTTATGGTCCTTAGGCTGCCAGTGGTGCAGCAGGAAGAGAACAGTTCCTAGAAAGAAATGGTGATTGCTTGACTAGCGCAACATAGAATTATAGAACCACAGAGTTGGAAAGGGCCATACAGACCATCTAGCTCAACCCCCTGCCCACCATCCCAAAAAGTGTTGTATTATGCATTGCAGAGTGGTATTATAATGGTGCAAATGTTTAGAATTTGGACCATTTATCTTTTCACTTGCCAGAAACTGATGGGCTTCAATATGACAGCAACCATCCAGGAATGTACTTATTTGCTTACTTCATTTATAGTCCACCTTTCTCACTAACACTTGAGGTGGGTTACACAATTAAAAACAATGCAGTCAGAGCGATATAATACAGTAATGCAATAGAGGTTAGGCTCATAGCAAGTAGCCCACTGACAATGCAGGGCCATGTTATAAAAGACTCAAGGCTGCTGCCACTCTGCAGGACTGCTGAACACCCCCCCCCCCAACAAAGATGCCCTCAGGAGAGGCGCCCCCCCCCCCGCATCATGCCACCCAGACATTGTATGAAAACAAAGCACATGATTTAGTGTTAGCATGGACAGACTAATCATTAGTTATCTCTAAATGCATCATACAGTTCTGTTGTCCATTCCATACATTTATATCCCATTCTTCCACCAAGGAACTCAGGGCAGTATCCATGGTCTCACCAAAGGATTTTTGATAAGGGCAAACAGAGCACAAAATTACAGAACCCTGGGGTGAGAATCCACACACAGGAGCTGCCACCAGCCCCTTTTAACCACCTATTCAACCAGAAGCCAAGGGGCAAGCTTCTAACTGTCCTGGGATTAAATGGGGGATCACACAGGGGAAAGTCTGTCCGTGGCCCGTAGCAACCCGTTTCCCTAGTGTTTCTTAACTCAGCTTCTGCGGCGGAGCAAAACAAGTGTGGGGCACTTCCGAGATATTTGTGTCTGATTGTGCCCTTTAAATCCGCCTGGCATTCATGCCTATGGCACTGCTAATTGTGCATGTGATCACAACCAATATATCCATTTCCGTTGTTTCAAAAAATTTTGTCACGAGTTCCTCTTTTGTTGGTATCTCTGATTTCTTCCAATACGTAGCATAAAGAATTCTTGCTGCCGTAACTATATGTATAATTAAGTGCTTAACTTTCTTATCTTTTACCTCAGGCATGATATTAAGCAAAAACATTTCTGGTTTAAATGACAGCAGTATCAGACATATCTTTTGCAATATTTCATGAACCCTTCTCCAATATCACATCTTTACACTTCCACCAAACATGAAAGACGTTTCCCACATGTATGTTACATTTCCAGCATTTGTCGACATTCCAGCATACATTTTGGCTAATTTCCCTGGTGTTATATATCGCCTATAAAAAAACCTAAATTCAAAAGGCTAACTACCAGGGGTCTTTTCCTAGAAAAAGAGCTGCATGAGCTCATTAACATACCGTATGCTAATGAGCTACTGGGCTATTAGCATAATAGCTCATTAGCATATGCAACACCCCCTTACATCACCAGAAGTGATGTCAGAAGGGGAAGCAAAAGGGGGGGAAGGCATATTCAAAAGCCTCCCCTTCCCTTCCCGGGGGGTGGGAGCGAAGAGAGAGGGGTTTAAACTTTAAACCCCTTCTCACTAGAGTTGGGCTGCAGAAGGAGGAAAGAGGGAAGGAAAGAGAGACAGAGTAGAGAGAAGAAAAGAAGGAAGGAAAGAGGGAAAGAAAGAAGAAAAGAAGGAGGGAAAGAAAGAGAAAGAAGGGAAGAAGGAAGGAAAGAGGAAAAGGAGAGAATGAAAGGAGGGAAAGAAAGAAAGAGTGAGAAGGGAAGGAGGGAAAGGGAAAGGGGAAGAAAAGGAGGGAAAGAAAGAGGGCAAAGAGATGGGGGAGGCTCTCCCACCCCCCCATCAAGTCTCCACCCCCCCACGGATCCCTCACTTACCCCAGGAGGAGGCGGGGGCCTCTTCTGGCCTCCCAGGGCCACAGCGCTCCGGCGCTGGCCCTGGGAAGCACTGGGGGGCCTCTTCTGGCCTCCCAGGGACACAGTGCTCCGGCGCTGGCCCTGGGAGGTGGCGGGGGGGCTCTTCTGGCCTCCCAGGGATGCAGCGCTCCGGCACTGGCCCTGGGAGGCTGCGGGAGGCTCTTCTGGCCTCCCAGGGATGCAGCGCTCCGGGGCTGGCCCAGGGTGGCAGCAGGGGGCCACAGCGTGGGGAGCTGGGGGCGGGGCTTGCTGCCACCGCCTCCGGCGCCTGGGCTCCCGGAGCAGTGCTCCGGCCCCAAAAGACCCCTGCTAACTACACAGTATGACATTGGTTCAGATTTACCAGATGTTACCATTCCAAGCTGAATACATTCAGAAGAAGATTAGATTTATACCACGCCCTTCACTACCCAAAGGAGTCCTTCCCCTTCCCCTCCCCACAACAGACACCCTGTGAGGTAGGTGAGGCTGAGAGAGTTAGGGCCAGCATGCCAAAGTTGGCCCCTGCAGCGCTTCTATTTTGGAGGGCTGAACAATGAATATAGGAATAAATAAGCAAATAGAAGAAGAAGGAGAAGGAGAAGGAGAAGAAGCAGCGGCAGCAAATGTATTTCCGTGCCATTACTGTGTGGGGCAGGGCCTGGTGTTGTTATGGGGTGGCCCACTCAGCTCTAGTCAAGATCCATTCTGGCCCCTGTAGCTGTCTGAGCTGCACACCCCTCTTCTAAGTAAAATATACTGGGTAGAAGCAAAAGGAAAAGACTGTGCATTGGTGAGCATCTGGTTGGCCACTGTCAGTAACAGCATGCAGGACTAGGTTCTTGTATTAAAAATGCATAGCTTCTGTGTATTGGGTTCTCATTTTTCCTTGTTTTGAATAATTAGCACATGCAAATAAGCTTGCAAAGACTTGTGCAGCAAAATGTTCAAGCAAACTTAACATTGGACATTAGTAAGCGTTACAATTAACCAGCTTAGGAACACATGAAGCTGCCTTTTGTTTCAAGGCAAACCATTGAGCCATGTAGTTCAGTATTGTTTCCTCTGACTAGCAGCAGAAGCTTTCCGGAGTCTCAGGCAGATAAAGATCTTTCCCAACAGCTGGTAATTGTGATCTTTTGACTGGAGATGCCGTGGATTGAACCAGGGGGCTTCTGAACTCAAAGCAGGTTCCCAGATTCAGAAGGGTTCTTTACAGGATCTTGGCTACTATACTTAAATCTAAGCTGCTAGGAACTTGAATCCAAGGTCTTGCAAACAGACCTTCTAAGAAATTCCTGCCTCAAAATTCAGAGTAAGGATGCAAGTCGAAATCTCCTACTTGTCCTTGACCCATAGGAAGCACCTTAATGTTTTATTTTTAGAATAAGTTTAGTAATATGATCAGAACAAATACAAATTAAAATACCTATCTTCGACGTTAGTTTAATCATGGATTAAATAACTGGGATTTCAGGCCTCAGAGTAAGAGGGAAAGAACTGTGGTTCAGTGGTAGATCATCTGCTTGGCATGCAGAAGGTCCCAAGTTCAATCCCTGGCACCTCCGGTTTAAAAAGTACCAGGATGTAAGTGATGTGAAAGGCCTCTGCTTGAGACGCTTGGAGAGCTGCTGCCAGTCTGAGTAGACAATACTGAGTAGACAATCCTTAATGGACCAGTGCTTTGATTCAGTATTAGGCAACTTCATGTGTTCATGCATTCCGTTTCTGGATTTTTTAAAAGTGTGCTGGTAGCTATTCTGAAGTTTTCCTTCGTGGTGAAGCTTTAGGCAGACTCTCAGGCTAACCAGTCACTAGGTATTGTTCTATAGTTGTGAATGTATACAGTTCTGGACCCTGTGTATCTGAGAGCTCTACTATACTTAAAGATGTCTTCCATGCTTGTTTTGTTTTAAACATTTTTTTAAATTTTCATAAGTAAAAAATATACATAAGGTTGTACAGAATCAGAAA